ACCCACTGCTACCCTTCACAGGAGAACCAAGCCAAGGAGGAGCTCCATCCAGGAGCCCCAGCTTCCCACATCCTGCCCCTCAGGCTGCCCTGGGCATCCTGCTCATTCTCCACACATAGCTCCGCCAATAAGTCTCCTTGGCAAGCCTCCCTCCTCCCCTCCAGAACCTACCACATCACTGTTTCCTGCTTCCAGCCGCACACTTTCCTCTGCTTACTCCTGCAAACATTTACTGAGCACCTACTCCATGCCAGACACTCTATCCCTTGGTGATGAATCATCGCCCTGAGTCAGCCTAGCAAGGACTCTGTGCTCACAGACCGCCACAGATGCTACTAAGCACAAGTCAGCATGGTGTTCGCTAGATCCCTGACAGAGTGCCAACCCCAGGGGAGGATGGGAAGGAGGGCAGCGATTCTGCTGATGCCAGGAGAGGCAGGCCAAGTGAGGTGTAGCTCCACACCCTGGCCCCATACATAGTACCTGACACAGTGTCCTAGCAACTCTTCCAGGGCGAGACTTACAGAATTGCACCTGTGGGAAGCTGGGACACTCAGAATTACAGGAACACACAGGAGATGAGGCCCCAGGGGAGAGAGTACACTATTCTGGCTGCATGTCTTTGGGTAAGATCCTTCACCTTTCCCGGCTTACTGCCTTCCAGTTACAGTGAGGAGGAAAGAGTGAGTAGTGGCTGGAACCAGTGCTTCAGAGCCTGCAGCTTTGGGGGAAAGGCCCATGCAGAGTCCCAGAGCACACCAAGGAGGGTGCAAAGAGGCACAGAGGGTGGACCTACAGGCCTGTCCCCTCGGCTGCACTACACAGCTTATGGAGTTTAACACTGGCTGGCAGGCCAGTGTACAGCCCTGAGTGAATCTTCACTAACCGAGCACACCCATAACTGTCACCCACTAGAACTGGCCCCTTCCTGTCACTTCTCCCCAGGTTACCATTATCCAGTCTCTAGCACCAAAGATCTGTTCCACTGTCCACAGGAGCTCTTCCAAGTCTGCTCCTTTGCCCAACAGTACATTTGTGGGAGTCACCGACAGCTTGCAGCCAGACTCCTCCCTCTTAAGCACACCTGAGAGGGGCAGTGTTGGGGGCTTACGTTCTGGGGAAAAGATGTGATTCAGGAAGAACACACACATTTTCAAGTTTCTCGCTTTCTCCCAGATTCAGTCTTTAGAGCTATCCCTGAGAAATCCCTTCTCCAGTGTGTGGCTGCCAAGTTTGGAAAGACTGAGATGAGGTCTTTTATAGAAGTAGCAGGTGCTCTGGTCACAAGAGGCAGCACACAGGCAACCTCCTTTTCTGGTGCCCTAATCCCCACATTTCCTTTCTCTTCCAAAGCAGAGAGGTCTCATGTGGCAGGAAACACCACTGTCTGAACCATCTTTGTGCCTAGCAGTTGGCAGGCTTAAGTCAACGTGGAATGAATGAATGGCTATGCATTTACTAAAGAAGGGAAGATGGAAATACCATTAAAGAGAATTGAATGCTTATGCCAATCCTCTGATGGTTGCTGTAAACAAATTATCACTAATCCCAAAACAGTTGGCAGGTTAGTCTTAAATCCTCACTTCAAAGATAAGGAAATTGAGACTGGAGTATACAAACAGTATGCTCAGAGTCACAAAGCTGTCCCATTATCGTGGAAGAAGTCAAGTAAGGTCTGCCAGGCCTCAAAGGACACTTGTCCCTACCACTCAGTTTGACTCCATGGCTGGCCACAGAAGGTAAGGTCTCGGCCACCCAGAGCAGTCAGCTCTATGGGCTACCAGGGTCTACCTCAGAACCATGTGACCCAGAGGTTCCTGCCAGAAGGTAGTAAGAGGCACTGGTTCTGAAGAGGCTCGAGTTACCCTTGGCCTAAGAGAGCTGATTCAGGCATAACGTGGGTAGATCCCACTCCTAGGAAGTTACCAAGTGACAAGTGAACAAAGCTCTGAGGCCATTTATCCACGGGAGGTGTAGCAAGATGGAAAGAGGCTCAGTGACCATGACTTGGCTTCACCTTAATGGTCCACATGCCCAACTACAGATGTGTGGCCTTGTTCTCTGTCGCCTATGTAAGAATAGCAGGCTGTGAGCAGTACACGGTCCCCTCTCTTGTGCACCCTGCCTGACCAGATGTGGGCGAGTGGTGAGAGGCTCCTGGCAGACATCAGAGAAAAGCCGGACACAGCCCAGAGATGAGGTTTCTCCATCCCAGGGAGCAGATGATGGGGTCAGCATACACCTTGCATGCATACACATGTATACAACACACACCAATCCCTTCTTCCAAAACTCAGACATAAAACACAATCCCCAGTACTGCTGGACAGGAGGGAATGGGGCCAACTCTCAAGGGGCACCCAGCATCTGCCACACATTTATAGACACTGCTTCCTTTAAACTGCCTGACTCCCTACAGAAAGCACGAGTATCTCAAAACAGAGACATGAGGAGGCGCAGTGACAGAAGAGGATGGCGATGCAGTGTGTGGAGCCCTGGGGCTCTGTTGCCCAGGCACCGTGGGCTGAACCACACTGCAGCCCTCCCTCTGTGACAGCGTGTCCAGGGTGTGCTCTCTGCCACCATGAGACCCTCACGGAGCCTGGCATCTTCAGCACCTCACTGCTCTCCACAGTGAGGTGGAGGAAAACACTTCACTTAGACCTTGCAGTGTGGGCAGGAGGAACAATTATACAGAAAGATTATAAGGTATAGCAGCCCCACAAAATATACTTTCCACACCCAAGAATAATCATCTGGGAAAAAAACAATGGTACAAAAGGGTCAAGATGTCGCCTCTTCCTTGAACAAGATTCTAGGTTCCCTGAAGATTTCTCCTTGCCACCTGTCACAATAAGCAGGGGGACCGCACCCTATAGGCAAAGGGTGGTGGCATTCCAGCCAGCCTGGACAAACCACAGCTGACCCATCCCCACCTGCCCTCCTCACCTGTGCACGTGCCCTAAGATGCTTCGGGTGGTCAAGGGTGATACGGTAGCTGATGGAACTTTCCCCTGCATAGCTTTCCATTGTGTTTCTAAACTTAAAAGGAAATGGGGGGAAGAAAGGAAAGGAGTATGATGATTGGAAGGTCCTGGAGCTGTGTGCACAGAAGCTGGAAATGTCAAGGTCTGAGAGTACTCAACGAATGAAAGCTCAATTGTATAAAAGCAACAGCTAATAAAAAAGATTGTTGGATGCCATGTTTTCCATCTTCCCAGCTATTACAGGGACAAAATTATCCATGGAAAAGATCAAAAACCTTTTTAAAAAACTAATACAATTAAGCCTTATTATTCTTTGGCTTTTTCCCTCTTTCTCCAGTTTCCCTGTAATCCGCACTATCTCCTGCACCAATCTCCATTTCCTGGGATGTGGAGGTGCTTTTCTTTTTTATTATCACCAGCAAAATGCTGCGTTTAAGAGGCAGAAAGGAGATCATGTTTTTGCACCTCCTTCTGGAAGCATCTAATAACTGTTCACAAGCCTGTAAGAGAACCTCCCATCTTTTTCAAAGCTCACATCTGCATATGTAAGGAGCCTGGACTCCCCTTTACCAGAAGTGGAGAGGAACCAACGGCTAAAAAAACAAGGCTCAGCCAGGAGAATTTCCTCTCCTTCAGCAAAGCAGAGGACTGGATTTAAGGAGAACTGAAGTAGAGATGAGAGTGACAAGGGGAAAATAGATTTTAGAGGAAATTAGATTTTAGTATTTTTTAAATACTACAAGGCTATTTCCCTTCCACCCCAAACAGACACATGTACACATGCTTCTAGCAGCCAAACCCAGAGACAGAATCACAAGAGGAGCACAGCGGGAGACCAAAGCATTGCACACACAACCAAAAGGAGAAAAAAAAAAAGTAAAGAAGGAAATCTGTGCCTAGGAACATATGGGCAACTGTGATAATTAGAGCTGTTGGATTTTTTTTTTTTTTTTTTTACCCTTTTCCAGGATCTCAGATCACATCCTTGTCATTACAAGCTACAGTCAAACCTGTGCATGGGGCTGGCCTGAGAAACACCAGCTTGTTAAGGGCTACTCTGTAAGCTCGGCAGGTCCTGAGACTGCGGGGTGGTTCAGTGAGTGTTTCAGGGTCACACACATCCGACCTGCGCCTCCCGCATGCCCCACAGAGATGGGCCAGCAGTGGTGACGGGGCACAGAGTAACCTCCCGCCTGTCTCCACTGCCTGGAAATCCAGAAAGCCACATTTCTGCCAGCCACCACTGTGGCCCGCCACGGGAGAAAACCCCTGTGGAAATCAAGCCCCTCAAGCAAACTGTCAGTTTCAAAGCTCCAAACCGTGACAAATGATTCACGAAGATCTGCCTGCAACATGCGATGGCTCAGGTTGCTTGGCATGCTGTCTCAGGCAAGAGAACAATTTTTTTTTTAACCTCCCAACCATCCCCTTCCATGTTTTAAGCTGTTTCTTTGGAAAAACCTATCATGATCAACAAATTAAACCCCCCAAAGTAAGCAAATTACAGGGTGAATTTTCAATGGTCGTTGTGGACATCTAAGAAAAGGCATGATGATGTGTCTTTAAATCTCATTCATTTCAAAGGTTTATCTTTAGAAAAGCAGTGAGTGTGTAGCAGGAGTGCACTTTGATCTTCCTGACTCCCAGGAGAAAATCAATAATACAACTTTAATGTATTTGTATAGCAAGACTTCACGTTATTATTATTTTTACCCAGTGCAGCTTAACTAAAGTGAAAAAGGTAGACTGGGGCTCAGCACCGCCCTGTGGTGAAAGGAATTTTTTTTTCCTAAAACTGAACTACAGTAGAGCCAGCCACATTCAACAAAAACCGGACCAATTAAAAACCAATTATCTCTGTGAATGCAACTTGTTGAAAGGCTGGCTTTGGAATGCAGAAGGGCAGGCCCACAAGGTGACTGGTGTCGGGCAAGTGGGCCCTGGGTCTGCAGCCTGCTCCCTCCATGCTGGAGTGGAACCTGGGCCCCAGCATGCAGCCACACGGAGCCCTACCTTCCTCTCAATGTGCCCCAGCTGCTCCTGGTAGAAGGTGTCTCTGCGGCGGAGCTCTGCCTCTCTGTTCTCCAGCTCCCTGGCCTAGTTGGAAGAGAACAAAGCCTGAGTTAGCCGGCAGCAATGATGCTGAACGGGTGCTGCAGGGAGACAGCGAATGACATTTCTGCTCACAACAGCACTCACAATGAGAAGAGTCACAATAATGAACCGAAAAACCTAGGATATGGCAGATTGTTCACATGTATTATGTTTAATTTTCACAACAATCCTTCAAGGTGGGTAATTATTAGAACCATTTTGTAGACAATAATCACTAACATTTATTGAACGCTTACTATCTGCCAAATACTGTTCTACGTGCTTCCCGCAGATTATTTCTTATGTTCCCTCCAACATCTCTAAAGGCAGGGAAATTATTATGATTCCATGTTACAGACTCAGAGGCAGACATGATGGAGGGGCTAAGGAACTGTCTGACAGCTCGCAGCTATTCAGAGAGGAGCTGGCTTTGAACCCAGAGCAAGGCAGGCAGTGCCTGGTGGAGGAGCTTTGCTGCCCAGAGCCACACCACTGGGAAGTCTATACCATCGTCTCGTGCTTTGAGCTGCAAGGCTAAGAGTGCATGCACACAGTAAAGCACATAATCATACAGTAAGAGGTGCTATTTCCTCATCCCTGATGGGGATAAGGGAACACAAGGCAGGGGACACTCTCTGGTTCACAGTTAACATGAGGGCTGAACTAACCCAGGTAAGCAACCTGGCACGGGCAGACCAGGGCTTGAACCAGTCCCACCTCAACTAGCTGGGGGACCCTGAGCCATCTCCTTTGCTCCAGAGGAAATCACACCCAGCCTCTTGGGCATGATGTATGGAACTGGAGCAAAAGCACCCTTCCTGCCCCACCGCAGCCAAGGGTAAATGAGATTTCAACAGGCAGGGGCATGACAGGTCCACAAAGGTCACCAGCATCACAGCACAGCAGGCACCATGTGTCCACTTGCTAGATACTAAGGTCACCAGCTCTGGGGCCTTTGCAGGACCAGGCCCCAAGTCCCACCATCTCTGCCCTCTGTGTGAGGCCACAGCAGCACTGGGGCCTGAGGATGGCCCCTGGTGCCGGTGGAGAGGAATCATACTGTTCACTCGGCTTTCTGCCCTCTCCTGGGGTTGCATGTGCACAAGTACTGCACGAGGCTCCTGATAGCACTCCATTCTTGCCACCCACAAGGGCACAGCTTGTCAACAACTGTGGCCAACATGGAACCCAAGCTTTTCCTTTTGAACTGTGCTACAGTATCAGCATATGATTTCAATCACTTAAAATTACTGTACAAGAGAAGCACCCATGTTTCTGAAAGCCTAGGGACTCTTTAGCAATGATACTTCTGTTGGCATGAAACCTTCTGGAAGTACCTGTGGGGTGGTCAGTAGTGGGAGCTCAGAGCATGGCCCTAGGGATGCCAGGCCAGTGGGGCAGGTGGGATGCCAGGTTGCATACCTCTACCTGAGGAGCCATCACAAACTTGAGAGAGCTGCTCTCCTTCTGTTGGGTATTTCCCCTCACCTGTAGAGCAGAAAAATGCAGTAACTTGGCATCCTGGATACTGCACAGTATCTAAAAATGCCAAGAAAGCTCCTGGAATGCCAACACTTCAAAAAGCTAAATACAAACAGTGGGACTGAGTGATGGAGATCTCTCTCACAGGATCTTCAAAGCATGATGCTGGGGCTGCTGCATCCCAGGCATGGCTAATCTGTGCAGGCGTCTCAGCAGCCCAGTACTTAGCTGTGAATGATCCCTGTTACCATCTGAAGAGAAGCTCAGTGGATACAATTAAGCAGCTGGTACCAAGCATCTCCCAGGGCTCTGGACCTGCCATTTCTGGCCAGTAGTCCCAGACAAGAAGGAAGCTGATGAGGCTCTCCAGTGGGATTCATAAGGAGCAGTGGGGCAGGAAGGACAAGGAGGCTGATCCACATGTCCACCCAACATCCACCTGACACCCTCTGATACTTCTGGACAGAGGCTCCCAATCACTCGGCCCATAGTTTCCAGGCTGTGTCAGCAGAGGGAGGCAGAACTAATGTGCCAGGCAAAGATGCCTGCCCCTCAGCACCTCCTAGGACCAGTGACCACTCAGCCACACAGAAACACTGAGGGCCTCAAGGCCTCCTTTCTACTCATGCTACCAGAACACGAGTAGGCAAGCAACAGATAAGGGTGTGGTGAGCTTCCTGGAGAGGGGTGAGCCAGCCCCTGTCAGTGGAAACTCTGACCTGCTCCCCATGCCGAACTCCTCGGCTTTCCTCACAAGTGAGCCAGTGAGGCAACCAGCCCATGGCCTCTGCTTCTGGATGACCAACCCACTGCCTCCTCACTCCATTGAGATTTGTAACAAAACCCTTGTGACTGATGACAGACAGACAGGACATAGCCTGGGAAGAAGGGCTGCAGAAAATGAATGTGAAGCACATGGCCAGTAGTCACTGCCTGGCCCAGAGCAGGTGCTCAAGAGACAGGGGGCTGATGGGTGATGAACAAAGCAGAGCCACCCTACAAAGCTACTCCATAACCCATGCCTGCTTCCTGCCCTCAAGAGAGGCCATGTGACACGGAGCTCTCTCTACAACACTGAGACTGAGGGCCACAGGCAGGTGGCAGAGCCTGATTCAGTAATTTATCAGCATGTTATTGAGTGTCCACCATGTGACAGGCGTCACTGTAAAGGGTTACAGATACATCAGGGAAATCAGAGCGAAAGTCTCTGCTCTCACGGAGCTTAGATCACAGTGGGAGAGGCAAATGTGTGTGCAGATAAATAAGACAATTTCAGAGAGTGATACGTGCTGGGGAGACCAAAAGACAGAATAACTCATAAGGTAGCAGTTGCTATTTTGTCTAAGGAGATTTCCAAGAAAATCTTTTTTGGGGAAAAAACTAAATTAAGTATGTTGTGTCTAATACAAAGGCAAACTATCAGCATCGTGAAGATCATGCAGTGGAGGGCAGTCTTTGAAAGGAGCTGAAGGAACCTTCAGTGATTTCAGTCAAGGACCTCCTCCAGTCAAGACAGCATAGCGAGTTCACACTTTGATGCATCTAGTTGCTCCAAACACAGAGCCATGGTGGGGAGGAGCACGTGACCAAAAGACACGGACACGTTCAAAAACAAGATGAAAGCATTTAACACACAACAGATATGCAAGCCGTAGGTGGAGCCGAAGCCACAGGCCTGCTGGGCCCTGGGCCTGGAGCAGGCAGAGGTGGCCAGGACCTCTCTTTGTACTGTGAGGTCTGAAGAAACCACACTCCACAGAAGTGGGACCAGACCAGGTGGGCAGTGTGGAGTGCAGGGCCCTCCCAGAGGAAGAAGCGGACACAAAGTCCCGGAAGGCCCCCACCTAGGGAGTGGATTTGTGTGCATAAATCTAGGCAACCAGGAGGCCACAGATCCAGCCCCAGACCATGAGTGGGCCTAGTGCCCCACGGACCCTGTTCTGCCTCCATGGCTTCCCCCTGAACACACCAAGACAGGTTTCAGAAAGCACAGTACAACCCGGCCCACCCCGGGTGAAGGTGTCCACAGGCCAAGAAAAGCCAGAGAGGGTAAAAAGGCCACACAGAAAGGAAAACAAAACACAGATGAAAACCAGCCTTTCCACTCAAAATGGCCCTGAAAACCAAGTCTCAAATATGCAGAGAAACGCAATTAGAAAGACTATCAGTAAAATCAGCAACTGAGATATGAACTCACTCCAGATGAAAGTGATTTTTTGGGACAATGACAAAGGATTTTGAAAACTTTGTATTGGGTAAAAATTTAAAAACAGGCAGAAGAATATAATAAAACCCCAGATGGCCATCACCAAGCTTCAACACTCCGATACCAAGGAGCTAGCTCACCTCCACCTTTCACCTCTCCTGCCAGGAGGCCTCAGAGTATCTTATCTGTGTAGACCTCAGGAGACTGTTCTAAAGATAAGGAGCCTTGCTCTCTTAAGCAGAACCACAGTGCCACTGCACATATTTTAAAATTAACATTAATTATGTATTATCAACTATCCATCCAGTAGTATAATTTCTACCTGATGAAGGATTTTACATATGCTTGTTTGAGCTGCTCAAAAAGATAAAGGAGTAAATTATTATTTAGAAAACAAAGGTGTGATACGTAGGGGAAGAACAAAAAGGGAAAAGAAAAAAATGTGAGAGAATGAAAAGATGAAAATAAAGTGTTTGTAGATGGGGAGGGGAGGAGGGGGTGAAGGGAGGGCAGAGGTAAGGGGAAAAAAATGAGAATCAAGACTTGCCATGTAAAGGTACATGATCCCAACAAT